AAAAAAAAAGAACAGCTGTTGTTTATTTTGAAAGAGTTTGAAACGAAATGACAAGGTTAATAAATGTTAACTGCGAAAAATCTTACTAACTTGCGCGAAAACTCACTCCAGCCGGAAAAAATAAACCCCACTTCAGCAAGGCTTAACATTTCTTAGTCTACAAAAAAAAAGATGCTTAGAAGAACATTACCCATACAATACCAGAAAAAAAGCTTTGCCTTCAGGCAACTCGGATATGAATCCACAGATTTATTTATTTCTTATAATCCATTTAAAAACACACGGCTTCCTCTGTTTACCACGATACCACAATTCCATGACTGCAGTACTGCACGAAATGAAAAGAAATACCCTTCAAAACGACTGTAGGTATAATTACCGACAAAATGGTGCATTTGGATCAATATATTCTTCAGCTACTTAAGAAACTAATCAAATATAACACTTCTCTTCAAGATCATAATGAACAATTCAAATGTTTTTCTTTGAAAATAGGTGAGAGATACTTCATTTACACCTCCAGAATTTTAAATCTCAAGATGGCCAAAATCTGAGCAGCAAGAAGTCCACAATAATGTTCAAGACTATCCATAACCACTCTTAATTTAAGTCATCAGAGATAGCCAAAATATTGTTAGTGCGAGTTAGCACAGTAAAGTAGAAAATGCCTTCAACCAAAGAGGTTTTAATTCAGAATCGTCAAACTGTAAAGCAAAACCAACGTTCAAACTAAAGGAAAGCCACATGCAATCTTTATAAACCAAGTAAAGCCTGAATAAAACACATAAAAGATAAAAACTGCCTTGTACTCAGCGCCGCCTTCAGCGTAAAATAACTGTAAGTTCAAAGAAGAGGCTGGATGTGCTATCAAATTCAAATTAACTTGGGAGGAAATAAGAAAAAGTGGAATAAAGATAATAGATTCTCACTTTTTCCCATTAATTAACAAAGTATACTGTAAATTCAAATACTTCATTCTAAATATACAAAAGAAATAACCGGTAAAAATAACCGTTCTTCACTATGCTCTTCCCTCAACAAAAAAGTACCTTCAACAATCTCTGAGACAACAAAGATAAATGATAAACGGCTTACACAGTTTCATACGCCTCGTCATCTGCCGTCCATCCAAAACGATCAAAAAATTGCAAAAAATTCTTGCGGTCAAATTTTGTTATGTGCAGCACCTGAAAATAAAGAGCTGAGAAAAATTTAAAAAAAAAACAAACAAACAAGAAAACTAATTAAATTCACCAGTCTCTTTAGCTTTTCAACGTTTTTCAATTCAAGTAAAGCGCAGTCATCTCCATCCAAATGACAGTTCAACCAAGTAAGTTCAGTCAAATTTTCCAGTTTTTTGAAAAGATCCTTCAAAACCCAAGATCCAAACGAACCCTAAAAGACACCTAAGGCAAAAAGAAACAATGTTCTGCTCTTGCACTACACCATTCACATTGAAAAAAATTATTTAAAAAACTAAAAAAAATAAGTAGAAAACAATCCGACACAAAACATACCTCAGCAACCATAGTACCAAGGTCTAAGACTTTCAGATAGGAGGCTCTCGATATAGCAGCATCAAAAAGCGTTTTTTCTCGCAGAATCCCAGTCCAATTTCTCACGGCTTGAAGCTCTTCCTCATTTATAAAATACTTACGCATTCTATTATCAAATTTTTTCCTTGTTGCTGCCGTTTCATGCCATTTTGTATTCCGACACAG